AAGGTTTTATATAATATATTTCAACCTCATTATAACTAAGATTGTTCAGTATCGTTTAGTTCGAGAAATTGATGGTTTCCACAATCACGTGATCAAAAACTAAAATCAATCCTATATCAAGACATATTTATAATGCAGAATGTCCTTTACTGATGTCAGCAGAGGCGGCCCAAGCTCACGTCTAGAGAAAAAGCACACGATTAATTCATGAAAGCGTCACGCGTTGTGTGACTCGGTAGTCACTGACAAGAAATGAACACGTCCTATAGAATTGTATGGGGAACCAAATATGGTCGATTTGAAGTAGTAAAAGTGTGACGTGCAAAACCGAAATAGATTCACTGCGGAGTAAACTGCTGATCGGTTTTCCATATCAGTGTATGAAAAGTTGATTATCGCTCACAGCAAGCTTACCGTTTAAAGAAAGAAGCTTTGGTTCTATTGGTATCGATCTTGTAATGAAATTTTAATTTTCGAAATGGATGGACACAGAAGCTTGACGTTTCCTGTGAAAAAAGAATGAAATAAGTTATTTTATATATATGTTCAATCCAGCAATGGTTATAAAGTGTGACGTACGAAACCGAAATTCATTCGTTTGAGATGGAACACTTAAATCTTCGGAGTAAATGTTGATTCGCCCTCCAGATCCCCCTCTCATTAATTCGCTATTAGTATTCGAATTCCGTTTTGAAAGTCGCATGAAAACTGGGGAGTTTAACTCTCACTATCTTCTGCAAGGTTAGAGATATATTTATAATTTGTACTAACACTTCGTGATATGAGAATCACTAGTTCACGTCTCGTACATAATGAATCACTTCAGGAAAAAAAAACATACCATTTTGATCTTTTTCTCGATCGTATTTGATAATTGATCAGTTCCTATTCTCAGTAATTTTGTTAAATACTTTTAATCACAGTTTTCATTTTTCCTAATCACAAATTGGCAGTAACAGTGTTAATAATAATAATAATCAATAAGATTAACCGTGAGGCGTAAAACGGCCAAAAAAATTAGCAGTTAAACACTTTTCTGGTAAAAATTTATGGAACGAGTTGTTAAACATTTCTGGTAACAACTCATGGAATGATGTTAACCGTTACGCGTAAAATGGCCAAACTTTTAACCGTAAAAGCCATCACCCCGAAAACGAAATTTCTTCGCATTTCGAGAAATCAGGTAATGTTGACATCAATACTAAATTAAACGGGAAGCAAGCTTGTCAAGCTGGCAATTGTTTGTTATTTTTTAAAGACATGCAAGAACCTAAGCCATATATAATTTTTATCATTCAAATGATCGCTGGGTGTTAATGCCCTCTAGTTGCAAGTTTCTTGCGATTGTCTGAGGAAAAGAGGAAACAAAAAGGTTGAAAAGCACTATTGCCATTGGGAGTTTTCAGGAAAGTCCCTTCCGGATGCGCGGATCCTACAACGTAACTGTAGTCCAGTCCATTTCCCCCACCTCTCTTCCCTTCTCAAAAGAAATATGAAGGACTATTAAGTATAACTATTGATTATTACTGAAAGTCAAGCTACCTCCTCATTTACTTGTTGCCATATTTCAGTCATTGGATTAACACCTTCAAAGGTAAGACCAGTGATGTGGTTATGTTCAAGCAAATTACCGATCCACTCCGTCCGTTTTCTTTTTTTTTTTTTTATCAATTATCTCAGTTGCTATTTTTGTCTTCGATCATGCAAATCACACCCTCAAGAAAATGAAAAGTTCACGTATACAATGGGTCAGTTTTTACGCACAGATAGCTTACTGTTTAAAGACAGAAGCTTTAGTTGTACGCTCAATCTTATCGATCTCGTGATGCAAATCCTAACGAACTAAAAGGGACGAACACTGAAGCCTGGCGTTTTCGAATAAACAAAGTAAGATGTGTCATTTTTGGATTCTCAAATCCATCATTAGTTAGAAAAGTGTGACGTGCCAAACCAAAATACAGTCACTAAGTTTTTTTAGTATTTTTGGCTTCGATCATGCAAATCACACCCGCTAGAAAATGAAAAGTAACGAAGACAATGAGTCCATTATCACGCAAAGATAGCTTAGCGTTAAAAAAGAAACTTAGGATCGATCTTGTGATGAAAATCAAACCTTTCAAAGGGGTAAACACTAAAGCCTGACATTTCCTATAACGAATAAGATTGATGGCGCGATTGAATCGCCACCACAGTGAAATAAATTCGTTATCCAGCGGTCTTCTCAAATCTCTGTAGCTTTATACCGTTTAATTTATCCTCATTAACTAATGTTATTGAGTATCGTTCAATTTGAGAAATTGATGATCATAAAACTAAAATCAGACCTTTATTTATGTTGTGGACTGTCCCTCGCTGAAGGAAATCCGTGGTGCTTGATCAGGTGGTTTTCCAGTGGCTATGACTCTACATCAGCTATCAACTTGAATCTGTTTAGGAAGGTTGAACGAACGATTCAGAGATCGCACTAGATTAGAAATGCCATATTTCCACTTGTACACAAGCGTTTCATTGTCGAAATACCCTTCACTTAAACCTTTGGATTCTAACGGCGGGTTCTGCGGTACATATTTTTCTAAAGCCGTAATCTGTTTCTTTTTTTTCCGTTTAAGTCCCAGAGTCTCGCACAGGAAGATAAGTTGTGAGGCTGCGCGCTCACTAAGAGACATGGTTTAATTTTCTCAGAGCAGTGAAACTTTCTTAAATTCACTGTTATTGCATTCATAGTATAAGCGTATCTTACCGTTGAACGGATGCTTTATATTTCCACCGTTAAATTTCTTTCTTCAAACCGTTAAGGTTTTATACAATATATTTCAACCTCAGTAGTTAAGATATTGTTAGCCATTGTTTAATTTGAAAAACTGATGGTTTCAACAATCACGTGATCAAAAACTAAAATCAATCCCATATAAAGATATATTCATAATGCAGAATGTCCTTTACTGGTCCAAGTTCACGTCTCGAGAAAAAGCAAACGATTGATTCATGATAGCGTCACGGGTTGTGTGACTTATGTGTTAAGTTATGAGCGAAGTTATGAGCGTTGAACACGTTATTTAGAATAGAATGGGGAGCGAAATATGGTCGATTTATCACGAGAAATATTTCAAGAAATCAACATTTAGTCAGGCTATGACACATGGCAGCAGTTTGTTTCCTTTGAGAAAAGGTAGCTTCCTTACCTCACAATACATGATATAACCAAGCCTCTTATTCTTCAATCTTCTTCATTGATTGAATCAATGAGCTTCATTATCAATTAAGAAGGGACTCTCTTTTCCCATTTCTTTCTGTTTCCGGTTTCCTAATTATCTGCCTTAAGAAAGTTGAGACACTGGGAAGAGAAATTTTTTTAGTTTCCTCATACGATTAGAAAGACCAGAAGTTCTAGTTCGATCACAAATCCTGTGACAAATTCTTAGCAACAATGAAACTTTTTGATTTTCAAATATGAATGTAGTTTAAGTCAGGCACAACTGTCTATCACCTGAGTGAAATGTGAACAAAGGTAGAAAAAACTGAATATTAAAACCAAAACTCTTCGTAATTTATTTTTTTTTATGCGATTGTCATTTGGTATCTATTTGTCTATAACCTGTATGAGCTTTCTTAACATTGATTTATTATATTCCAATTGTAACTGTTTTAAAACTACAATTAATTCCATTGTCATTCCTTTAAGCCCATTTGCGGATAATCTTTAAGTTCTCTTCGAAGTTTGTAAGACTTTTCACTAATCTTCAGACTGCTCCAACATCGAGGATGTACATAATAGATTTTTGGCTTTTAACGTTCACTCACAAAAAGATGAAAGACAGAAATCGGTAGGAATATGATTCAACCTAAGGGCAAAATGTTTCTTTTACATCACGTGACGAGATGAAGGAACCAAAAAACCTAGGTCAAAGTATAATATATAGATTTAGCCAAGCCTAAAAGCGGAGCTCGTATTTTTTTTTCCTCGCACGTTTCAAGGGCACAACGCCTTGCCCCGGCCAGGACTAGAACCCGGGTCGCCCAACTCACAGCCCAGTGCACTGACCACTGAACTACTGGACAAAGCCGTGGCGTTGGCGTGCCCGCGGTACAGTTGACCACGCATGTTAAAAGAAGCACCTTGTACGGTCGTACGGTCGAACGGTCGTACATCCAAATTTTTTCGGCTTGATGGGCTACTACTATTTTGCATAATTTTGGGGCTACGCTCTGCGAGCTCCGCTACTATTTACGACAGTGACCCAATGAGTTAAGTCTGGTTTCTACGGTTCGCTTACCTGCGAGTTAACAAAGTTGATGTACTTCAACACGGAAGCTGAGTCAGTTCATTAGTAAACTTGGTCTGCTGTCATTTCCAATTCTTCTCCAATAATTCTGGAGAGCCTTACGCAGATAACACTGACTGTCAGTTCCAATATTGGAATTTCATGTATGGGACTTGCTTCTTCCATGACAAATGCACAGTGAACTTGGTTAATGACATTTTTCAAACGGAAGTAAACGAAGGCTGAAATTCATTATCATGGCCAATTTACATTGTCAACTCAGTTGGTAAAGCCAAATAGTTTTTTAATACCCCACCAAAGTTTCTTCAAAAACTTACCCCGTTGTTTATAGAAACTATGCATGTGGAAAGTTCTCATTGCAAAAGTTAAGATAAAGTCTGTCAGTTTTTTTTATCTTTGTCCAATGACTTTAAAGTCATGTAATGTTCTGCAAAAATCCCAACTTGAGGAAAATGAAAGGTGACCAACCGACTTCTTCACTTTTTTGTTTTTTTTTTTGTTTTTAAGTGGATATTGTGAATTCTAACACTTTCAGATTGTTACAAATAGTTTCCGGATGTAATCGACCCAGCCCGTTTTTGTAACTTAACATGTGTGTTCCTGTTTGAAGTGACTCGTTATTAATCGAGATTATCGACCATTTAGTATTGTGTTACTAAAAATAATGTTTCCCTGATAACAGTTGAGGATTGCAATGGAAACCTAACAGCAGAAGCCATGACACCTTTCATGAGCCTCGCCTTATTTGTTGCCCTGTTCTTGCTCAACTCAGATCGCATTCAGAAAGCCATTGAGATATGCAGCGAATGTTTGATTTTGCTAAATGGCACCGATCAAAACAGCAAAGACCAATTTGATTCAGCACTGTTACAATTTTACAGCGACATCTATACCGTTCTTTTCAGCGCTTATCGTCATATCTCTGACTACATAAGTGCGGAAAGATACGGAAGGAAACTGTTTGACTTATACAGAGGGTATGGAATTATGCTTTATAAACTTGGCGAAAGCCTAAAGGCAAAGGAATATTTTGAGAGGGCCCTTGCCATAACAACCAAAATTGGCGACAGAGAAGAGGAAGCATCATGTTATGGAGACCTAGGTACTGTGTTTCTGTCCGTTGGCCAATACGACAAGAGTGAAGAGTATCTCCAAAAAGCGCTTGTCATCAGAACTGAAATTGGCGACAGACGAGGGGAAGCATCATGTTATGGAAACCTAGGTACTGTGTTTCTGTCCGTTGGCCAATACGACAAGGCTGAAGAGTATCTCCAAAAAGCGCTTGTCATCAGAACTGAAATTGGCGACAGAGAAGGGGAGGCAACTGACTACGGAAACCTGGGTACTGTGTTTCTGTCCGTTGGCCAATACGACAAGGCTGAAGAGTATCTCCAAAAAGCGCTTGTCATCACAACTGAAATTGGCGACAGACGAGGGGAAGCATCATGTTATGGAAACCTAGGTACTGTGTTTAAGTTGCTTGGCCAATACGACAAGGCTGAAGAGTATCTCCAAAAAGCGCTTGTCATCAGAACTGAAATTGGCGACAGACGAGGGGAAGCATCATGTTATGGAAACCTGGGTACTGTGTTTCTGTCCGTTAGCCAATACGACAAGGCTGAAGAGTATCTCCAAAAAGCGCTTGTCATCACAACTGAAATTGGCGACAGACGAGGGGAAGCATCATGTTATGGAAACCTAGGTACTGTGTTTCTGTCCGTTGGCCAATACGACAAGGCTGAAGAGTATCTCCAAAAAGCGCTTGTCATCAGAACTGAAATTGGCGACAGACGAGGGGAAGCATCATGTTATGGAAACCTGGGTACTGTGTTTCTGTCCGTTAGCCAATACGACAAGGCTGAAGAGTATCTCCAAAAAGCGCTTGTCATCACAACTGAAATTGGCGACAGACGAGGGGAAGCATCATGTTATGGAAACCTAGGTACTGTGTTTAAGTTGCTTGGCCAATACGACAAGGCTGAAGAGTATCTCCAAAAAGCGCTTGTCATCAGAACTGAAATTGGCGACAGACGAGGGGAAGCATCATGTTATGGAAACCTAGGTACTGTGTTTAAGTCGCTTGGCCAATACGACAAGGCTGAAGAGTATCACCAAAAAGCGCTTGTCATCACAACTGAAATTGGCGACAGACGAGGGGAAGCATCATGTTATGGAAACCTAGGTACTGTGTTAAATTCGCTTGGCCAATACGACAAGGCTGAAGAGTATCTCCAAAAAGCGCTTGTCATCACAACTGAAATTGGCGACAGAGGAGGGGAAGCATCATGTTATGGAAACCTAGGTACTGTGTTTAAGTCGCTTGGCCAATACGACAAGGCTGAAGAGTATCTCCAAAAAGCGCTTGTCATCACAACTGAAATTGGCGACAGAGAAGAGGAAGCATCATGTTATGGAAACCTGGGTACTGTGTTTCTGTCCGTTAGCCAATACGACAAGGCTGAAGAGTATCTCCAAAAAGCGCTTGTCATCAGAACTGAAATTGGCGACAGACGAGGGGAAGCATCATGTTATGGAAACCTAGGTACTGTGTTTAAGTCTCTTGGCCAATACGACAAGGCTAAAGAGTATCTCCAAAAAGCTCTTGCCATCCAAACTAAAATTGGTGATAAGGGAGGGGAAGCAACAGTTCTTGGAAACCTTGGAATTTTGTTGAGCATTGTTGGTGATTGTGAAGCTTCGGAAGTATGCTTGGAGAAAGCTTTATTCATATCCAGAGATATTGGAGATGGAAGAAGAGAGTTCGAAACCCTCCGAGGTTACGCCGTTTTGTATTTATATCAATATAAAATCCAAGACTCCCTGTCGTGTCTTCATCTGTGCATTGAAAAGTATGAGGAGCTGAGACATTTCTTGAGCGCCAATGATCAGTTCAAAACATCATTTCTGGAGGACACAGGAATATTTCCCTACAAGCAGCTTTGTACTTTGCTTTGTGACACCGGAAATGCTCGGGATGCTCTTTATGTTGAGGAGTTGGGTCGAGCTAGAGGCCTATCAGACTTAATGGCAGAGAAGTACTCGGTTGAAACGCACATCTCTGCTTATCGACAATCTTGGTTTGGCATTGAGGACATTTTAAGAAAGAAAAGAAACTGTACTTGTCTGTACATTTCTTATTTTCAGAATCGTCTGCATTTGTGGATCTTGAAAGCAAGTGGAGTCCTTCACTATAGAAGAGTATCACCAGAAGAGAATCTAGTTCAGGCTGGGTTACCCAAAGATTTGTCTTTGAGTCAATTTTTGGATTATAATTTCCGGAGTCTTGGTATTTTGCCCACTAAAGATTGTGAAGATCGGTCTTTAAAAACGATTAAATTGCAACCTCTCTCCCCCGCGCAAAAGAGCTCAGTAAGATTGCGACTCGTGGAGGAGGACGAGGACGAGGACGAGGACGAGAAAGTGATTTCAAGTCTATATTTGTGTTACAAAATGTTCATTGCCCCCGTTTATGATTTGCTTGATGAGCCTGAAGTCATTATTGTTCCTGACCGCAGGTTGTACAAAGTTCCCTTTGCTGCCCTGAGTGAAAAGGAGGGAGCCGAATACTTGTCAGAGACTCATAAGATCCGTATCATTCCTTCGTTGACAACACTCAAGAACATTCAAGATAGTCCAGAGGACTATCACAGCAACACTGGTGCCTTGGTAATAGGCAATCCCAAGGTTAATTGGCTGCAACCATTGCCAGCTGCAAGAAAGGAAGCGGAGATGGTCGGACGACTGGTGGGTGTTCCGCCTCTAGTTGAAGAGAAAGCAACGAAGCAGGCGGTACTTGAGCGGATAAGTTCAGTGAGCTTGATACATTTTGCTGCCCATGGTAACGCGGAAAGAGGGGAAATTGCACTCTCCCCCATTCCTACTCCCACCGCTATCCCACCGAAGGAAGCTTACATGTTGACGATGGCTGATGTCTCACGAGTGAAAGTCAGAGCTAAACTGGTGGTACTTAGCTGCTGTCACAGTGGAAGTGGAGAGATAAGAGCCGAGGGAGTTATAGGAATTGCCCGTGCGTTCTTAGGATCCGGTGCTCGCTCGGTGTTGGTTGCGCTGTGGGCCATTCCAGACTCAGCAACAGAGCAGCTGATGAGTCGGTTCTACGAACACCTCATTGAAGGTGGAAGTGCCAGTGAATCCCTTCATCAGGCCATGAAGTGGATGAGAAAAAACCCCTTGAACAAAATCTCTGAGTGGGCTTCGTTTACGCTGATTGGAGATGATGTGAGACTCGAGTTTGACAACCAGCGGCAAGACTCGGTGAGAACAGGTATTTCATAAATTAAAGTTAAACTAGATGTGAGGATGGTTATGACTTACTGGTCGTTGACCGGATGGGGATCCTCTGTTACCTTGAACATCAAGGCTAGTTTAATATCTATCTATATATACATATATATATATATATTTATATATATACATATATATATATATATATATATGTACATAAATACGCACACTTTTTTTTCCTTTTTGACGAGTTACTATCTCCGCTCTCTGGTGTAAAATATAGAATCTCACAGATGCCTCTCTGCCAATGAGATACAAGTAATAGCCAATTATTTTTATATATCGTGCTTGGTGTAATTGTGTTTTCTTTATATCCAAAATATTAATTGAGGTAATAATAAATTGGGTTATTTCAAATTTTTTCTTGCAGGAAAAAAGACCCCGATAGAGTAAATAATGACAAGTACTCGAAGGGAACAGAGTTAAAAGACTTTTAGATGGATAAATTAAATAGAAATAAGTAGAGAAAATACTCTATCCGGTATTTCATCGACATTAAAAAAAAGAGCCATCCCAGGTTAGGGGAGATTTATTCCAATTTTTGCTGCTTTCTTTTCTAATATTCTCAGGAGGAGGTAATGGTTATGTACTCAACAATTATTTTGTTTTTCACGCAAAAATTATATTCTAATATAATAGACACGAAACAATGTTGACCTACGTAAGGCTTTTGAGTAAAACGAATTCAGTAAAGTTAATACAGTAGTTTAAGTATTAACAAACCACTAAAATCTGGTTTAATTTTTGTGTTTTCAAGCCTTTTGTAAGGTTTAGTTATTAAGAATACCTTCCATATTTCAAGAATGAATTTGATGTAGCATCTGAAGGGATCCTTGTCACATTTAAAAAAATATCGTACAGAGCTTAAAAATACGACTAAAAGAGGGGAAAGAGTATACCTGACGAACTTCTGGAGAAATACGTGTCTGAAGTTATCTGCTCCAGTAGAGAAGGATGACTTCCGGCTTTACAAAAGCTCAAGAACACGCTGATGTGGGCGGCGGGAGTGTCATGCGGGCATGTCAATACTTCAATTTTTAACTGGTCACTTGCCTCTTGTGCTATGCACCCTGCGCGAAGCCTGTCGACTCTTAAATGCAGAAAAATCTCTGCCAATTGGCTATGAGTTAGATCTCTGAAATATGGTAGTAATCATGTCTTGGAATAAAGAGATCATCTGTTGTAGAATAAGTTGATTCGTAACACCCTGTATGTAAGGAATAACAGCAAAACCAGTCGCTGGTTCCCTTTCATCAAGAGCGTTACTATTTGTAACTGGTTTTTGGTGGTTAAAGAGCGAAACAACGTCGAAAGATACTAATTCTTCACAAGCGTTAAGAGTTTTATCTTTTATGAAATCCGCAAATTCGCAGGAATTTTTGACAGTGTTATCAGTATTCCCAACAACAGGCGTCAAAATTCTCGCAAGATAACCAGAAATTGCATAAGTCGGAGAATTAACAAAAGACACAATGGGTCTCAAAGGAATTCCCGGTTTATGAATTTTAGGTAAGCCATAAAAACATGGACATAAGCCGTCACTACTGTCTAACATTTTGTAAGTAGAGTCACTAATTTTACCAGTTTTTTTGCAAATCAAGCAACATTATGTTTAACTTTCTTTGAGGTTTTACTGGTAGGATCAGAGTTTAAGACAGCAAACGTACTCTTGTCATTAAGCAGAGTCAAAGCTTTGTCGTGATATTGCTGTTTGTCCATAACCACAACACAATTACCCTTGTCAGCAGATAATACGAGCCTGTCCGGATCCTTTTTGAGAGCTATAAGTGCATTGAAAACATCCTTTTGAATGTTTTTGGGGGGAGGTTTAGATCGTGACGATAGTGGTTTGCTTCCTGACGCTTATTTGCACCTCGTCAGAAAAAAAAAAGGCCGCTAATTAGTGATCATATAAAAGGACCTCTTGTTACAGCGTCTAGATCAACCCTGATGAAGGTACTAGACAGGAGTGTCGAAACGTTTGGTCTATGAATTGTAACTTCGGTTACATTCATTAAATCTGCAAACCAGAGTAGCATCAAACTATGTCTGATTGTCCAGCTGGTTGCCGTGTGAACTTTAATGTATTAGATAAGAAGGCATTTGCTTACCTTGGCTCCTTTGATCACTGAACCAGTCGGCCTACGGTTGATGAAGTTCGGGATCTTTTGGTCGGTAACGGCCCATGGAAGCGCGCTTGACAAGGTGATACAAGATGTCCTGCTGATTGCGCCACTTCCAAACCATTGATTTGGAAATTCCGTATTCCCTCGCTATCTCTCGATTGTTGTTAACAGCTTCAATTACGATTTTCAACTTAAAGTTGAGATCGTAAGAATGACGGCGAGTGTTTGGCATGATTGTGCTGAATGTAGACTTCGCAAGATAATGTTCACCAGGTGAAGTAATTTTGCGACCGACTGATTGTTGATCGAATTGTTTTTATACTTTAAAACCATGTTTCCCGAGAGGGAAGGCTAAAAATTAATGTGTACCGATAGGTTGCATTAAATGTGTGACTTTTTTGCCTTTTGTTTATCACTGTGATTAAATGTGTGACATTTTTCGGCTTTTGTTTATGTGTGTGACCTTTTGCTTTTGTTTTATCAAGGCTTTTGTTTGTGCGCCGTGGTCGCGTGTGCGACAATTCTGCTTTTGTTAATTAACGGTAAACTAAAATCAATACGCGACTTTTTCACTTTTTTGTAAGTTTATGAAAAAATTTACAATAAACTTGTCCGATCTTTACTCCTCAAACAACGATGCGCCTTATAACCAAGTATTTTAGCAATATTTTCAGTTTGAAAACATGCAATAATGAAATTGCTTCAATGCCTGCTTATGGCAGCTTTTGTTGGATTGGAAATAAAACAGTCGTTGTATATATGTATGTGCTGGAAACTGTTGCAATGGACCTTCAAAGGGTTTTTTATTTGATCTGTATTAAATTTTAATTTCTTTGTCAACAGTCAAAAATAATCATATAGTATCACCTTTTTTTTCCTCCTCACCTTTAAATCTTTGAAAAATTACTTAATCTTCTATTTGAGAATTGTTAAGAAATGGAATTTATTTTAATACAAATAAGGATTTACACTGTTTAGTGGTATCATTTGTGGCTCTAATGAAACAAACGATGTATTTTCAAAGTTGTTAGCTTCCAATCTTTGTTGGAAAGTTAGAAAAAATTTTGGTATGTATGAAATGGAAGCATCATACCATGGAAAATGCTTGAACAATTTTTATCCACTTGTTGCGTTGATCAAAAAAATTCACTAGTTCACTAGGCTCACGTGTTATCTATCTGTCATATGAGCACTAGCAGTGTTTTAGAGGTGGAGACTGCAATTTCACATACTTGTCCATACATGCCCCAATATTAAACGAGTCCTTGCATTTTCTGGTTACATATTGTTGGAAAACTTTTTAACGGTTTACACAATCTTCGGTTCGTTCCTTTTTTTGAAAATGTTCGACTTCTCGCTGCAAGCTATTTTATGGAGACCCCCAAAAATTGAAGTTACGGATTGAAATCCATTAAAATACGCGCTCTACTTTTGGGCTTGGCCAAATCTATGCATTATACCTCAAAATAAGTAGACTCATTTGCAAGAATGTCCTGTGTTTCCTCAGGATGGACGTGGAGGGGAAGTCGACTATATGAATATTTGAGTAAACTAATACTCAAATCCTCTAGGCTGTTTTATATAAACAATAAACATACCATTTCTCTCTAAATTAAGAGACTTGCGTCCATATCTCCACTAAACTTTATTCACTTTAATTTTAAATATTTTCACGGTCAGAAATTAGCGTCCTTTTTCTTTTTAATTTTTTATTATTATTTTTACTTATTATTATCATTATAATAGTAACTATTTTTGTCTTCGATGCAAATCACACCCGCAAGAAAATGAAAAGTTTATGAGCACAATGGGTGAATTTCCACCCACAAGAAGCTTACTGTTTAAAGACAGAAGCTTTAGTTGTACTCTCGATCTGATCGATCTCGTGGGATACCTGGATGGTACTGGATCCTTGGAATCAAATGTAGTGATACTACGTGTGTCGGACTAGTATACTGAAATAGTGCGCTCAAGTCTGGCCAAGGGCATACACCTATTTCAAAACATAGGCATGCTAAGGCCCAGGGTTTGAGCTAGTATTTGATCACTGGGGGACAATTTGTCCCCTTAGCAAAAATTTTGGAGGACATTTTTCATTTTTAGGGGGACAGACAAATTAATTTTTATTCGACATTTCCTCTTTTTACATTCATACAGGCAAGCCGACAAAAACATTTTTTTTACTTGATCCTTGTAAGACTTGTAATACAAGAAAAGTGATACAAAAAAGAAAAGTTATGTTATTGATGTCAAATTTCTTTTTCTCGTCATATTTAAACAGAGGATCAATGACTATGCTTTATACTTCTCAAACTCATTAATAATTCATGCTGAGAAAACAAAGGAAATTACAACCGTGAAGGAGGTTTGGATATGTGATCTTAATTATCATAAAATCTGGTGAACTTTTGCTTTGATTTTCTCCAAGAATTATTAATGGTTTGAGAAGCTATATCAAACATTCGAAAGGGTGTTTCATCCGATATCCAAACACCTTGAAGTTGGTTAAAAAAAACTCGGCTGCGCCTCGTTTTCTCAACCACTTCTCGGTGTTTGGATATCGGATGAAACACTCTTCCTCGTGTTTGATATATTACTTCAAAACATTACACAGCAGAATCTCGTCCCGGCATCGCCTTGTAAAATTCAATTCCTTTCTTAATCACTGGTAAACGTAAATGTACTAATTCTTCAGTTGGTTCTAGCCCAAACATCAAGGGCTGTAGAAAAGAGTTGCTGCAGAGTTGAGGTTCTAAAATTTGTGTTGGTGTTGCAAAGGGGTTTGTCTTCTTAGATTTCCGACAAAAATAGCAGAACATCGCCTCTTTTTCGTAGCGCAACCATGTGTGATCTCGCAACCAAGTT